GCGTGGCACGCGCCTAACTCTGAGTCAAACAACTCAGAGTTGATTAAACCAACTCTTTTCAGCTGTTCTGAAACCGAAAACTCCGAGTTTTCCAACTCTGAGTAAGTCAACTCAGAGTTCAGGTTTGAACTCTGAGTTTGTTAAACCGCCTTCTTGAAATAGGCCCCAGGTCAGGGAGCTGAGTAAGGAACTAAAGTCAAACTGGAAAAAACTAACCAATGAACTAGTGACAGACAGAAATTCAAAACCAAAGGAACAAACCAAACAAAGCTAGGACAGAAACAAATGTGAGATGGATACAGACTTACAAAGCAGAAACTCATGGTGCCCTCCGAAGCAGACGTTTTTGCACGTTCCACTCTTGAATGCTGGCTTTTTCTTCATTTTCTTCTTTTTTGTATGTTTTTTACTCCTCCTGTAGTGCACAAATGTCATGCGGTATGTGTGTGCATTTATCAATAAGTAAGAATTTCATTGTACAGGGAAACACATTTCTTAACTGTGCCTATGACACAGGTGTGGTGAATAGAATAAACCAGCAAGTGATTGAGGGAAAGGAGTATATATGGGTTGAAGAACCAGGTGGTAACGAGTAGCAGGTGGAAGCAATGAACAGTAATTGTGAAATGGGGTAAAGCTGGGGCAGGTGAGGTGACACAAGACAGGAAATCTAACTAAAATAAAAGCACCAAACAGGAAGCAAGTCCACAAACCATAACAGGTGTAGAGGAAGTGCCAGGGTCTTCACTGACCTGCTTGGGAACAGAACCAAAGGTGGCACCAGTATCCTCATCAGCCAGCATGAGAACAGGAACAGAAATGATACTGGTGTCCTCACCGACCCGCTCAAGAATGGATGCAGTGTTAACTCCTTTGTCAGCCTGCTCAGGAACTGGAATGGAAGTGGTGGCGTTATCCTCATCAACCCACCAGAGAACAGGAACAGGGTTGGTGTTTTTTCCTGGGAAACAGGAGCAGAGGCAGCACCGGCATCCTCACTGACTCGCTCAGGAACAGGTACAGAGGTGGTGTCAACCTGCTGGGGAACAGAGACAGAGACAGCATCCCTGTCAACACTCTTGGCAATGGACATTCAAAGACAGCACCAGCATCCTTGCTGGCAAGCCTAGAAACAGGTTCAGTGGTGGCCTCAGTGTTCTCGCCGACACGCTTGGGAATGGGAACAGAGGAAGTGTCAACACACTTGGAGGCAGGCACAGGTGGGGTGGACCTGCTCGAGAACAGGGACAGAAGTGCCTTCAGCATCCTCACTGACCCAATTGGAGAGAGGATCAAAGGTGGCGTCCACCCACTCAGAAACAGACAGGTATGGTGTCGACTTATGCAGGAACAGAGACAGAGGCAGTGTCAGCATCCTTGCAGACCCACCTAGAGACTAGATCAGAGACAGTGTCAACCCACTCAACAGTATCAACAGAGACAGGTGTGGTGTTAGCCTGCTTCCCATGTAGAAACAGGGACAGTGAGGGTCCCCACTGACCCACTCAGAAAGAGGATCAGAGGTGGCATTGATCTTTTTGGAGACAGCCACAGTGGTAGTGTCAACCCATTTGGGAACAGGGACAGAGGCGGTGTTAGCATCCTCAGCAGGCTGCCGGAAAACTGGAACAGAGGCAGAGGTGACTTCAGTGTCCTCACTGACCCTTTCAAGAATAGGGGCAGGAGCAGCACCGACATCCTCTTGGATCCACTAGAGAGCAAGATTAGAGGCAGTGTCAGCATCCTTGCAGACCTTCCTGGAGACTGGATCAAAGGTGGTGTCAACCCACTCAGGAAGAGAGACATGTGTGGTGTCGACCTGCTAGAGAACAGGGACAGAAGCAGCGTCAGTGTCCTCACTGACCTGCTTGAAAACAGGAGCAGAGACAGCATCAGCATCCTTGGTGACCCACTCGGGAACAGGATCAGAAGCATTCTTGGCACATTTGGTCAGTCTGCTTTTTCTTTTATTGTCTCACACAGCTGAAAAAAACTAGCATATAGCATTTTTTCTAAGAAATTTAGTCTGGTTACTGGGGAAAAAAAAAGTGTCAACTGAGTAAGTCATTGCCAAAAATACTGGCACCCTTGCATTTCTGTCAGATAACACACTACCCAAAAAATTGTTGAAATAAATTCTTTAATATGCTCAGTTATTTCTTTTGTTTGTATTGGGACAACACAAAAAAGCAAAAAATACAAATGTGATACATTCCACACAGAACTCCAAAAACAGACTGGACAGAATTATTGACAGCCTCAACGCAACTGTTGTGGCTTGTGGACCTTGCTTCCTGATATTCTGTTGCTTTTCCCTGTCTCTCCCTGCTTCCCATCTCATCTAGCCAGCATAATCATCCATCATCACCTCCACTTGTTGCTCATTTACTCCTGGATGCTCCTGTTATATATTCACCCTCTTCCCATTTATTCCCCGCTGGTTTGTTCAACTCACCGATGCTTCCGTCCTCATTGTCGACACTCACTTGCTCCCCAACCTGCTACCCGATGCTCCAGCTTTGCACTCTCCAGCTCCCTGTTCCCCAGCTCTGCACTCCCCGGTCCTCCACTCATCTTCTGTCAGCTCTATGCTTCCTGCCTGCCTCATCCCCAGCTCCACACTACCTGCCTGTCCTGTCCTGTCCAGAACCTGCTCTACCTCTATCCCATCCAGTACCTACTCTGCCTCTGTCCCCTCTCTCCTAGTAATCTGACTTCCTTTGAATATTAAATAAGCTCATTTTGTAGTCCACTCCCAGTGTGTCCACATATTGGGTCCACCAGTTATCTGCCCTCCTTGACATTAATATTTGGTAGCACACTCTCTGGACATAACAACTGAAATCAGTCATTTCCTGTAACCACCAGTGAGTTTCTTCCACCTCTCTACTGGAGTTTTGGACCACTTTTTTGCCAGCTGCTCCAGGTCTCAGATTTCAAGGGTTCTTTCTTCCATCTGCTGTTTTGAGATCTCTCCACAGATGCTTATGAGATTTAGATCTGAACTCATTGCTGGCAGCTTCAGAACTCTCCAGCACATTGTGCAAAACATAGTGAGATCTACAGGGATCTATTAGTTAGGTTCCAAGGAAAAATCAGTGAAAGACTGAAGTTGCGAATTCTGAACTGCGAATTCGCAGGGATCCACTAGTGTATAAGAATCTCGCTTCTGTCAATATGTTGCCAGGCCCTGGAATGACTCATACTTCCCAACATTGGGGGTTATGATATCACATATTTTGCACCTAGGGTCTGGTTAATATACAGTGGGTACGGAAAGTAGTCACACCCCCTTAAATTTTTCACTCTTTGTTATATTACAGCCATATGCTAAAATCATTTAAGTTCATTTTTTTCCTCATTAATGTACACACAGCACCCCATATTGACAGAAAAACACAGAATTTTTGACATGTTTGCAGATTTATTAAAAAAGAAAAACTGAAATATCACATGGTCATAAGTATTCAGACCCTTTGCTGTGACACTCATATATTTAACTTAGGTGCTGTCCATTTCTTCTGATCATCCCTGAGATGGTTCTACACCTTCATTTGAGTCCAGCTGTGTTTGATTATACTGATTGGACGTGATTAGGAAAAGCCACACACCTGTCTATATAAGACCCTACAGCTCACAGTGCATGTCAGAGCAAATGAGAATCATGAGGTCAAAGGAACTGCCTGAAGAGCTCAGAGACAGAATTGTGGCAAAGCACAGATCTGGCCAAGGTTACAAAAAAAAATTCTGCTGCACTTAAGGTTCCTAAGAGCACAGGGGCCTCCATAATCCTTAAATGGAAGACATTTGGGACGACCAGAACCCTTCCTAGAGCTGGCCGTCAGGCCAAACTGAGCTATCGGGGGAGAAGAGCCTTGGTGAGAGAAGTACAGAAGAACCCAAAGATGACTGTGGCTGAGCTCCAGAGATGCAGTCGGGAGATGGGAGAAAGTTGTAGAAAGTCAAAGAAAGTCAACCATCACTGCAGCCCTCCACCAGTCGGGGCTTTAGGGCAGAGTGGCCCAACGGAAGCCTCTCCTCAGTGCAAGACACATGAAAGCCTGCATGGAGTTTGCTAAAAAACACCTAAAGGACTCCAAGATGGTGAGAAATAAGATTCTCTGGTCTGATGAGACCAAGATAGAACTTTTTGGCCTTAATTCTAAGCGGTATGTGTGGAGAAAACCAGGCACTGCTCATCACCTGTCCAATACAGTCCCAACAGTGAAGCATGGTGGTGGCAGCATCATGCTATGGGGGTGTTTTTCAGCTGCAGGGACAGGACGACTGGTTGCAATCGAGGGAAGGATGAATGCGGCCAAGTACAGGGATATCCTGGACGAAAACCTTCTCCAGAGTGCTCAGGACCTCAGACTGGGCCGAAGGTTCACCTTCAAACAAGACAATGACCCTAAGCACACAGCTAAAATAACGAAGGAGTGGCTTCACAACAACTCCGTGACTGTTCTTGAATGGCCCAGCCAGAGCCCTGACTTAAACCCAATTGAGCATCTCTGGAGAGACCTGAAAATGGCTGTCCACCAACGTTTACCATCCAACCTGACAGAACTGGAGAGGATCTGCAAGGAGGAATGGCAGAGGATCCCCAAATGCAGGTGTGAAAAACTTGTTGCATCATTCCCAAAAAGACTCATGGCTGTATTAGCTCAAAAGGGTGCTTCTACTAAATACTGAGCAAAGGGTCTGAATACTTATGACCATGTGATATTTCAGTTTTTCTTTTTTAATAAATCTGCAACATGTACGGGCATGGATGCAGTTATAACATTGTGACTTTGATTAGAGGACTGCTACCCATGCCTGAACACAATCAGGAGCAGCCAGGGTCCACAGATCCTGACAGAGAGCCCGAAGGTGGTAGCTGGGACCTGCTGTGGACATATGGCCAACAGGCCAGGGACGTGGCTACTGCGTGCAACCCTGCCTGCTCTGCACCGGGAGAAGAGGATTGGAGTAAAGCCGACATCTACATTCTGCCTGACTCTGCTGCAGTTGCTGAAGTAGAGTGCACTGACGAGGTTGAGGGTTTGTGCTACACCAGCTGAACACTCTAGGAGGTCTAAGCGTAGCTGTTCAAAACCTCTATCAAACTGGTACTATAGGGTATATTAAAACAATATCTTACAAACTGTGGGTTTCTGAGTTTGTACCGACTGTTCTGGAGATCCTGCACCTGGAAGGATTTGTCCCACATCCTAACCATGTACGTAGTGCTGTCCAAGCCTAGTTTTACAAACTGACCAAAGTCAAACACATCTACAGTAGCCTGAACCATCTGAAAGACATCATACATTACTGGGCTACTCTCTGTAGATAAAGTACACAGTACACAAATATGTCTCTTTGTACAGGCTTGATCAGAGAATTTGACATGTTTTGAATAATGCA